GGGGGTGCTTAATCAGTGCCGTGCGGGGGGGCCGCGGGGGGCCCCTTCGCTGGGCCGGCAGTAGCTGCTGCCGCTCGGGTCTCGCCCTGCCCTGGCACCGTCTCCCGAGGGCCTGCCACAGAAGGGCTGAATGCCTGCTTTCTAAAGACGAAGCTGTGGTTGCGTTGGAGCGCTTTCCCCTCGCGAGGGGTGTCGGGCAGGTGTCTGGAGCGCAGACACGGAGGGCGAGTGAGCTGGGACCGCGCCGGGCCCTCGTCTGGGGAGCAGGCTGGGGTTTGAGCCTTCACAACACTGCTGAAGCCGCCCGTGGGTCTTCAGCACGTGCCTCATGCCAGAACCCACCCCCAGGCTCCGGGGCGCGGTGGAGGGCGATGCTCTCCTCGAGGAAGCGTTGCCACTGCAAACGCTTCGCGTGTGCAACAGAGAGAGCGTGAAGCTGCTCTCTTCCCCACTGCGTCCCTTTCCTTGGGTGAAGCTCATTAAGGTGACGCTGCTGTTTGGGACCTGCTTATCACCGAGGGCGTATTAGCAGTGCCGAGATAAGAGCGTGTTTAACTTGCCTGCCAGACTGAGCAGATCGGCTTTAAAAATGGAGGCGGCTGGTTAATGGATGGGAAGGGAATTCCTTGAAGAGCGGCGCCGCAGTGCTGAGAAACGTTCTGTGACCGTAACTCTGCTCCAGGTTTCCCCTCTTTGGGACCAGAGTCCTGTTTCCTTAACTCTGTCCAGAAAAAGCGCACGCATAGCAAAGAAACTACTCAACACAGGGCGTTCCTAGAAGGTTTCGTCCTGCGTCTCCGCTGGTGCCTGACGGCTGCCGGGGCTGGCTCCCAGCACAAACCAAGCCCCCTGCTCGCTTTGGGGCCTCTCCGTGTCTCGGGGGAAGCAGCCGTGAGCCGGAGTGCAGAGCCCTGGGGCTTTGCCTGCAGCGTGAGGCCCGGTTCTGCAACAGGCTGGACGCTCAGCGGTGGTGTCAAGCACGTCTGGACGGTGATGAGGCTCTTGTTGCCGACAGCAACGCGTGCGGTCAGCACGGTGTTTCTGTGGTGTCTGTCCGGTGGTGGCTGGGTGCGTCTCGGGGGCCCTCCTCTGCGCGGGGCAGGATCCAGGTGACCGCCGTGGTGGCTGCAATGGGGCTCGGGGCCTTTTGCCAGGTGACCGCCGTGGTGGCCGCAATGGGGCTCGGGGCCTTTTGGGAAGGGTTTGGGTGTTTTTCATCTCCTGTTGGAGTAGAAAGGCGCCTTGAGCTCACACTGACCCTGCTGCTGTCGGATGGAGGTAGTAACTGGGACATCCCCCAGCTCCCGGGGTAAGCAGAGGCGTATTTAACTGTTCGTACCAGTTTCTCATTCTAGCTCAAGCCCTCCTTACTTAGTCTTGCTCTGCCTGTGGGTCCAGGAAGGCAGAGCTGTGCCAGTCTGGATCTGGGAAGCCTTTCTCACCCCAGTGGGCCTCTTCTCGCTGCAGGTCTACAACGTTTACATGGCGGGCCGCCAGCTCTGCTCGAAGCGGTACCGGGAGTTTGCCATCCTGCACCAGAACCTGAAGCGGGAGTTTGCCAACTTCACTTTTCCACGTCTGCCAGGGAAATGGCCGTTCTCTTTGTCGGAGCAGCAGCTGGACGCCCGGCGGCGAGGGCTGGAGGAGTACCTGGAGAAAGGTACTGAGCTGGGAGCTGTACACAAGTGGGGAACCAAACCTCGGGGTACATCCCGCCGCGGGTGGTCCAGAACTTCACAGGGATTTGTTTACCTGTGAAGGAAAGAAGCTCATTTGTTTCTGGATTGGATTTTATGGCTGAAGTGGTGAGAAGGAGCTCAGACTTGCCACGGTTTAATGATGCGTGTGTTACCGGCGTGCAGCGCGCTTCCAGCAGCAAGATGTATAGTCCGTTTTTTAACATACAGCGAGCTTTTATTTGTAGTGTCATGTTGCTCGCCAGTGATCTTGGAGATGAGGGAGCACGGGGAGGAAGAGGAGGAGGAGGGAAGCTTTGGAGCAGGGAAAAAGTTGTGTTTGAGGCCGTTCTGATCGGGGGAGCTCTTCTCAACCAGTAGTGACCGGAGCCTGCTCGTGGCTGAACGCTTTGGTCCGTCCTAGTCCCAATTGTAGTGCCTGCAGCAGAAGCTTCCTTTAGGCTGAGTTCAGATGGTGGAAAAGCAAAACCTCATCTCTGTGTCAGAGCGCCTGGCAAAAAGATCTGACCCCACGTGTTGCGGCTGTAGATGGGATCTGGGGAGCCCCTCGTTCCTCTGGTGCTGGGTTATTTTCTTAGGTGCCTGGAAGCAGCTTAATTAATTTGTGTGAGCTTAACAGCCTCTTTCCTTACCCAGCACGTGGGAGGGAAGCCCCCTCTTGCCACAAGATGGACGTGGCTGGGTTTTGCCCACTGTGCTGATGTCTCAGCCCTGCCTTGGCCAGCTCGTTCGTCTCCATTCTCGGCGTCCTGGAGAAAGGGGCAGGCTGGCTGCGAGTCAAGAGGCAACACGATACGGTTCGGGTCCAAATCATTTGCTGGACTTCGCCTGAATTGCCAAATAGTTTCAGTCCCTCTGGAATAACTTTTTTTGTTAGAGGCAAAAGTGCTATTTATGAAATTCTTGTCTGCTTTTAAGTGTAGACTAAACCTGCTGTTGGCTGTGTGCCTGGGGCCTGGATTTCACCCCCGGGGAGTATCTCGGCGAGTTACTCAACACTACGCGTCGCTTGCTATTGTAGGGGATTCAGGCTGGGTCTGTGTTCGTGCCAGGACACCTGATACCGCCCGGAAAGCACTCGCTTTGAGAAGGTTTCTTCGGGCAGGAGATACCACCCTGTCTGACGCAGCCCGCAGAACAGGCAGTTGTTACTCCCACGTCACCTCTGGGCCGGTGCTGGGAGGGGGGGGCTCCCCCGTTCCCCAGCCACCCCCCTAACCTGCGCTCTCTGTCCTGCAGTGTGCTCGATACGCGTCATCGGGGAGAGCGACATCATGCAGGAGTTCCTGTCGGAGTCGGACGAGGTAGGCACGCAGGCGACGGCGCTGCCGCTCTGCCCTGACCTTCCCTCTTGCAGAGGCCGTAAGCGCTTGGTAAAACTGGATCAGAGAGCAGAGACATTCCCCGCCAAGGGCTCAGCTGGGTGAAGACCGTGGCAAAAAATCCAGGCTGCAGTTTGCCGTCTGTTCTGGCACGTAGGAAACCTTTTGCCCCTAGCAGGAGCTCAGAGCGGCTTTGCCGCTGCTCTCGGAGGGGTGCGCAGAGCAGAGCCTCCTTGCGTGCCCTGCTCTCAGCTGGACAGCCGCATTCGCTGGCTGCGCGGCTGGTTTCCGTGCTGGTGGCAGCCCGGGCAGCTTTGCCTTTGAGCTGTTTGTGTTCCTCAGCCTTTGGCCAGAAAGGCACCAGGCCCCCTGAACAGCAGGCTGGCTGACTCGCTTCTTCCGAGGTGTGACTTGCGGGGAACAGAGTTGCTGTTTGCCTCTCAGCTGCTGGTTTTTTCCAGCCTTTCCGCGGTGCGTGAAGTCGCCGTGTCCCGGAGCTTTCTGTCGCTCTGCACTGGCAAACCCGTGAATGGAAAATCCTACCCCGTCATGGTCTGAAGCCGTTTGCTTGGCTTCCTGCCTCGCGGCAGAGCTCGCATCTTCCTCCATTCGGAACTGCGCTGGTGCAGACTGGAATAGGATTCTTGAGGCTTGTGGAGCAGCCAGTTACTAAAGTGACCATTTTAATTAGCTAGCACAAGGCAATAAATAGTCCACAGAGCTCGGGGCTCAGTTTGCGTGATGCTGATTTCTGTCCTCTCCTCTTCCCTCCGTCAGAATTACAACGGCGTCTCGGACGTGGAGCTCCGAGTAGCGTTACCAGATATAACAACAGTCACGGTCAGAGTCAAAAAGAACAGCACTACAGACCAGGTGTACCAGGTGAGCTACTGCTTTTTGTGCCTTGGCTGGAAGATTAACACGATTTGGACATTAACCGGGACCCCGTGGGCACCTGCATGCTCCTCTCTGCTCCTCTCGAGTGCAGGTGGGCATCCGTGACGCTGCTTTGCTGTGGCAGAGGGGACAGGGACACTAGGGATCTCTGACCTCGCACCGTGCTGAGGCAGCCTTTCCTCTGGCAGGCTCGGCTGCAAGGACAGAGTCATCGCTGAATTAATTTTCCCTGATAATATCTCAAAGCTGGCGGATGGCTCTGAGAGCGAGTCAGATTGTGTGTCGTGGCTTGCAGTGGCTGCGGTGGAGGAGTTGGAGCCAAGAGCTGCCCTTGCAGGCTTGCGAGTGGCCAGAGGCCCAGTGCTTGAAGTGGAAAACCAAGGACAACTGACTTCAGCCAGCACTGCAGGAGGAGCAGTGGCAGCTGTCGATGAGTTAGGAGGAATGAGATGATGCGGGGGAGACCCTGTCTGAGAGGGGAACTAAAAAAGTTGCTGGAGGACTGAGAGGGAGCCGGCTCTCGGGAGCTCCGGCCCCGCGCAGCAGCACCCTGCCGTGGCACTACGGGGTGGTCTGGGACACAGCCTGCTGGATTTCGCGTCGCCTCTGCCGAGGTCCGTGAGCTTGGCTGTGGTAGTAGCGTGCAGGACGGAAGCGCTGTTGGTGAGAGCTCCTGGGGGAGGTGTGCGTGCCCCTGCTCTTAGGGACTGAAGCTGGAGGCGTCAGAAGGAAAGATGACCTGATTGTCAGCCATGGTGGCACTTGAAATCTGGAGCAGCCTACAGGAAAGCGAAAGCAGCAGTTTAAGCCTTTGCTTAAGAAAACACCTGGCTTTACTGGAAGAGTAAAATTCATATTTTCCATGGTGACGAGCACCTTGGGTTAGCGAATAGTTGGGAATAGCCTGCATGAAGCCAGCCTTGCCCCGGAGGGGAATTGGCAGCTGCTGGCTCCGGTCCTGCTCACCCCGTTTTCCCATTCCGTTGCTCTTTAGGCTGTGGCTGCGAAAGTCGGAATGGACAGTATTACCGCAAACTACTTCGCCTTGTTTGAAGTGATCAATCACTCCTTTGGTAAGTCTTGTAATCCCCGTGGTGCTGACGAGCGGCTGAGGAGAAAGCTCTGCAGCGCTGGCAGAGCCTGGTGGCACTCTCGTTTAGGTCTTATCTCTGCTCTCAAAACCAGGACCCCCGGGAGGAATCAGGCAGGCTCAGTAGACTCCGGTAATGAGGAGCCCTCAAAGTTTGACAGCTTTTTTTGCTGCCTCTTTACTTTCCCTTTCTTGAGCAGTTCAAGGAGATGAGCTTTTTGTTAAATGGAGAAACACATTTTACTTTACTTTAGAGGGTCCAGCGAGCTTAGACAAAGTGGGCAGCATCACTGCAACGCAGCCGTCTCTGGGGAGGACGGCACCAGCAGCGCCTTGGGACGGGTTTTTTCCCTTGCTGGAAAGGAAAGAGGATCGAGGGCGCGCTTGGTCTGCACACGCGTGGGTGTGGGTCCAGGAGCCGGAGGGGGTGTGCTGCAAGCTGCGTCTTAGCTTCGCATCTGTCCTTCTGTGGTTAAATCCTGGTGGTATCTGAGGCTCAACTGTGGGATTCTGGGCGATCATTTTGGCACTTGGGTAACTGCCACTCTTCCAGCTCAGCGCGTGCTGGGGTCTCCTGGCTGCTGTTCAGATCCCGGCCGCAGCCATCTCTGATTACGCCCAGCTTCACGCTGGGTTCGCTGCAGCTGTGGAGAGGCGAAAATGTCGCGGTGACTCCACAGAATGGGTGTAGTGGCTGGTGTGTGTTTTATTTTTCCCCTCTGCTGGGTTTTGAGCCAAGTGCATTTCTCATTCCCGGCTGGGTACCTTCGTTTCTGGATTGTCATCTTTGTCTGCCTCAGACTCATCCTGTTGTTACGGCAAACCGTGCCTTGTAGGAAGAGATTTCCAGGGCTGTTCCTCGTGCTCACAAGATTCTGGCTGAATGGCTGGGGCAATTTTTAGCAGCTTAAAGCCCTCCTAAAATGACTCATCTTGCAGAACAGGCTAGGTTTGCTTTCAGATGCTGACCCTGGGGCAGCCAAGATCACCAGTCTCCTCGCAGAACGGCCCCTGCCGCCGGGTTTGTGGTCCCTCTGTGAGGGTGACGGGGTGCTGGTGTGTCAGGGCAGCACACGGACGTGGTGAGGGGTGATCAGGGCTGGAGGGTCGACGTGCCGCGAGATTGCCGAGGCAGGGCTGTGCAGGGAGCCTGGGGCGGCAATACCTGCTCCGGGGAGACGGGACGCTGCAGCGTGCTGGCACAGCCTCATGCGGGAAGCTTTTACGGTGCCAGACTCCAACGGGATAAATGCCTTGTCCCTCGGGTGGCGCCTCTTCTCCAGCCGTGCCAGAATGTAAAACCTCCAGTTAACCTTTATGGCTTGTGCTTTCTGGACACTCACGGTGAACATCCACACTTATCCCTGGCTGGATACGCTCCGTTTAATTTCTCTGGAAACCATAAGCTCCGTCTGCAGGAAGGTAGTGGCCATTTCCCTGCCTGATGGGGACGTTCTGGCACTCGCCTTTTTTGTCCACCATAGCTGGGTTTTTGTCACCGTAAGTGCCTCGACAGGGGCTCGCTGGTGGCCCAGCTACTCCGGCTTCGCCCAGCAGTGCAGCGGGTTTTGTAGAGGAGCGCAGTCTCAGCAGATGGAGGCGGTGACGAGGGGCCGGTGTGGTCCGACGCTGTGGGAGCAGGTACTGAAAAAAGCTGGAGGTGGTCAGGGAGGAGAAGAAAGGGGCCTGGCGCAGGGCTGGGGTCCGGGTCCCAGCTGGCTCGGCTAAAGGCCGTCGCCGATGTTGACTTGTAGAGCAGCCGGGCTCCGGTCACAGATGACGCTGCTGGCACCGTGTGGGGCTCTGTGCTTACCTCGATGCCTTCTGCTTTTTCCAGTGCGCAAACTGGCACCCAATGAATTCCCCCACAAACTCTACGTGCAGAACTACACCTCGGCAGTGCCGGGAACGTGTCTGACCATCCGAAAATGGCTCTTCACTACAGAGGAGGAGGTTCTTCTCAACGACAACGACCTGGCAGTCACCTACTTCTTCCATCAGGTAGGTGCCCAGGAGCTGTGGTTTTTCACTGGAGGTAAGGCGGCACAAGTGCCCAGCTCCCGGAGCTGCTCCAAGCCCTGCTGTTCGTTGGCCTGCTGGCAGCAGAGTGTGAAACTGGGAGCCAGTCCTGCTTGGGCACCTTCAAGGAGCAGAAGGCCATGGCTGGGTGCATCAGCGGTGCTGTGGTGAACTTGTGGCCAAGTGGCAGTGGGACGGGGAGGCAGGACTCCTGCCACCCTCACTGCAGGACGTTGCCTTCCCGGAGCAAGCTGGAAGGATCGCGGGAGGCTGCGCTCCTTGGGTCGGATAGGTTTTCCTCAGTTGTGTGTGTTGTCAGTGAAGATGGGGAGCAGACTTCTCCCTGTTCACCCTAGGGAAAGGGGCCGTTTCTGCCTGCGGTTTCACTTGATGCAGATTCTCTGGGATGAAGTGAGTCTGAGAAGAGCCATGTTCTCCCATTGCCTGTATAAAGCCAGTCTAGGATGAGCAGCTCGGAGACAGATACCTGCAAAGTTCGCCAAGATGAATCCTGCTCTGTCTCAGCCACCAAAAACGCTGTCGCAGCGCTCTGAGCCTGCACCAGCCTCTGGTAGAAATTGAAATAAAAATAGTAGTTGTCAAATTCTTTGATCTCCTAGACTTACAGCTTTACAAGTCACTTTGTGCCGGGGGCAGGAGGCCTTCCTGGGGTGTGCAGCTGAGGTGTGAGGGGAAGGGGCTCTGTACCTGCTCGCTCCTGAAGGAAAAATACCTTTCTGTGCCAACACTCCAGCAGCACAGTGGGTAAAAGCCAGCACTGCTCTGCTGGAGGCGGCTGTGTCTGTGTGTCTGGAGTGGAAGGGTTGTACCAGCCTGTCCTTTGTCCCTGCCTGTCCTTGCCTCTGCCTGAAGGCGAAAGCAGGATTCCAGGTACCAGCATTCCCAGATCCCTCCTCTTTTGCCAGGAGACATTCTTCCAGAGCCCGTCTGGATGTTAAGCATCTGCGTGCTCCCCAGGGCAGTCAGAGGCTTGTGGCCGGAGTCGGTGGGTGCGAGGAGCCTGCTCTCTGAGCCTCTCCATCCCTCTGCCTCTCTGGGGACACTGGTCACCTTCCGGGGCTGTGAATGCTGTTCAAAGCAGCCTCGGGGCCAGCCAGGGAAAGCAAAGCATTGCGGCTTGGTGAAGAGCCCTCTAGTCTGACCTCCTGGGTTTCCTGTCCCTTCTTCTCTTTAGGCTGTTGATGATGTCAAGAAAGGCTACATCAAAGCAGAGGAGAAGTCCTACCAGTTACAGAAGCTGTGCGAGCAGAGGAAGATGGTCATGGTGAGTTATCCTGCCTGTGCTGTCAGCAGTGCTGTGTCTGGAAAGGAGACGCTGGCCCAGGCTGCCCAGGGAAGCTGTGGCTGCTCTCCCTGGCGGTGTTCAAGGCCAGGCTGGATGGGTGGAAGCTGTCCCTGCCCATGGCAGTGGGATGGGAACAAGATGATCTCCTAAGGTCCCTTCCAACCCAAACCGTTCTGTGATTCTACCCACACAGCCTTGAAAAACGCAGCTTTCTTGGAAAGCAGTAGCCGTGGGGAGCGGTGGGGTGTGGGCTTGGCGAGGAGGGCTTGGCAGGGTGTGCAGACACGCAGGAGTGCCGGCGCAGGGCTGGGCCGTGCCCGAGGGTCGGCTGCGGCACGAACCAAAACCGCCCCTCGTGCCTGGCGCCTTTGAAGAGCGGCTCGTCCTTGGCAAGGTCGCCCATTGACTCTGCTCCAAACAAGGCAGCGATAAAACCCCGTGGGTTATTGCCAGTGATGAAAGGTGAGGTGCTCAACGCGTGGTGTGGCAATCCTGCCCCTGCAGCCCTTCGGGGACAGCTGGTGCTTCCTACTAATGGGGAGGCAAAGGTCTCCCTCTGCCCCGGGCTGCCTCCGAGATGTGGTGCTGGGCTGGCCGAGGGAGGGGAGGCTCCTGCCCCGCTCGGAATGCCGGTGCTGCCCCATCGGTGCCTCAGTTTCTCTTTTTTTTTCTGTCGGGCAGAGGTTTTCCCAGATTGCAAACCCTGCGTCAGAGCTCGCTGTCTGGTCAGGGTCTGTCTGCCTCTCGTCGCTCTGCCCAGCGCGGGCTCGGGGGCTCGGTGGAACTCGAGGAGCCGGGCTGGACGCGGGGCAGCGAAGGGGATGCCCTCAGCTCATCTGCCAGACGCGAGCTTGGCTCGAAGATCAAACAGCAGAGCGATCTGACTTGTAAAGAGCTTCCCGGGTTGCTCGGGGCTGCCCTGTCGCTGCCTCGCTGCGCCCTGCCTGCGCTCTTGCGGCAGCTTG